AAGCCACCAGCCACGTGGCAAGGTATAGATTTATGGAAATGGATTAATTTAAGCTATAAGAACAGTTAGCAAGAAGCCTGCCACAGCCATACAGTTTGTAAGCAATATAAGTCTCTGTGTTTACTTGGTTGGGTCTGAGTGGCTGTGGGACTGACGGGTGACAAAGATTTGTCCTGACTGTGGGCAAGGCAGGAAAACTCTAGCAACAGTTCCCCAGCTTCCAGGATTGGCTTGTTGCTTCTTAATCCTTTCTTCATTTTTCCTTGGGTGAATGCCCCCTTCCTAAAGCAGCATCTCAGCCTGTCCAACCCTGGGAGGGCCAATGAGGGGAAAGGAAATCTGGCTTCAACCTTCAGTGCCAGCCTTTTCATTGTTATTATTTAACAGGAGATCTTGTTACAGAGCCTAGACTGGCATGAAACTCACTGTGTAACACAGGCTGGCCGTGAACTCATCGCAATCCTCCTGCCTCAGCCTCCCAAGGGCTGAAATTATAGGCATGCTCCACCACACCCCACTTAGTGCTCGCCTTTATCCAGGGAACAGGTGTCACCTCATAGACCCATTTCTCCTCCCCAGGGCCCTGTACTGAATGGTTCCTGGCAGCAGCCAGTGTGAATAGCCTGCCAGCCGCTCTTCTCCCGACTCCAGGGCAACCTGCCTCTCATTCTCTGCTCTATTCCCATCTCTCCCAGAATCCAGGCCACCAGATGGCCTGAACAGGCTGTGTTTATTTGGAGCCATAAAAATGTGAAGCAAGCTTCCTTTTCCTTCGACCCGTGGGTCAGGCACAGGTTGGAGCCACAGCTCGGAGCAAAGATACTTTGGCAGTGCTCTGATTTCATTATTTGTAATCCATAACCTGAATGTCTCGGTTTGCTACCCTGAGCAGCTTATTCTGGTCACTATGGAAACGTCTCTGCTCCCACTGAGGTTCTGGGAATAAGTCAGACATGGAGGGACCCAGGAGACTCCTTCTAACCCAGAGGCCCAAAGGAATATGTCAGTTGCCAATGCTTAGTAGTTTGCGTTTACGGAGCCTAGGGGCTGGGCTGGTTTATCTCCCCAGTAATGCTGAGACAGTAAAGGCTTGCTTCAATGACAGTCTCCTATTCCAATCAGCCAGTGTCCCTGGGGAATGTTTAAATTGTCTGTCCTAGGGGCATATTTTTCTAGGTAATGACACTTTCTCCTAAAATCAAACTCTTCATTACAAGCTAACCACAAGCATTACTAACAATTGCTAACATTTATTGGCCTCTGTTTTCATCTACACACAACCCCAACTAAGTAACTTAGCCAGGGATTAGTCACCTTCAAACATCACTCGTTTTCCCTGGAGCCTTAGCATTGGAACTTCACCAATTCTGGGTTTCATGCCTTAACAACAATGTGAAATGGCTCTGCTTAACCTGGAGTCTTCTGGATTCTTACCTACTTCTCCAGCTTGTCTTTTCTAGAAGAACCCACTATGCTGCTCCTTAAAGCTAGGGCAGGGAAGAGGGCTGTGTTTAGAAACATTTCCCCTCCAGTGATCTGCCTCCCACACTAGGCTGGGTATAAACTAAGCCATCCGTCACAACTTACACATGGGCAGGGCTGACTTATAGGCTGTTTTGGTTTTTTAAGATGTATTTATTTATTAGATATACAGTGTTCTGTCTGCATGTATGCCTGCGGGCCAGAAGAAGGCACCAGATCTCATTACAGATGGTTGTGAGCCACCATGTGGTTGCTGGGAAATGAACTCAGGACCTCTGGAAGAGCAGCCAGTGCTCTTAACCTCTGAGCTATCTCTCCAGCCCTTATAGGCTCTTTTATGGGGGCGGTGGGAACAAACAAAACAAAAACACCTAAAGCCCTACAACTCAACTTGACTGGAACTCAACTTTCAAAAACAAATTGCCATAGAATTCACTTGATCCACATTTGTGGTTTGTCTATGGTGTGCCATGCTCTTCATGTTTGGGATATAGCAGAGAGCCTACATTCTATCTAGGAGACAGGAAATTATGTTAGAAAATAAGACTGGGCCTTGCATGGTGGCACCCACCTGTAATCTGAGCATCTGGGAGGTAGAGGCAGCAGGATCAGGAGTTCAGGGCAGCCTGAGTTATAAAGGAAACCGTCTCAGAACACAAACACAAACCAAACCTGCTCTATATAGTGAGTTCCAGGCCAGACAGGGTTACATAACTGAGACCCTGTCTCAGTACACACACACACACACACACACACACACACACACACACACACACTCCATACATAGACAATACAAATCAACCAACCATTAAACTCAAAACCACACACACAAAGATTGGCTCATTATTTATCTGTCTGTCTGTCTGTCTATCTACCCATCTATCCATCAGAAGCAGACTAAGAATGTGGCTCATACACTGAGAAGGGATAGGAAAGGACAGGGATAACCCAAACTGAGCAGGTAAGATTATTTATTTATTTTAAAATTTATTTATTTGGTTTTTCGAGACAAGGTTTCTCTGTGTGTCCCTGGCTGTCCTGGAACTCACCCTGGAGACCAAGCTGACCTCAAACTCAGAGATTCGCCTGCCTCTGCCTCCGAAGTGCTAGACTTAAAGGTATGCTCCACCACGGCCCGGAAGTAGGTAAGATCTTATAGATGTGTTTGGTTAGGTTGTTGAGTCCAGATTCAAAAAGAGAAAAGTGTGTTTCTGGGAACGTGGATCCAGGGTTTGTTTGTTCATTTATGTATTTATTTATTATTACTATTATTAGTAGTATCCTTGTTGTTGTTATTTTTAGTTTTCGGGACAAGATTTCTCTGGTCGGCTGTCCTGGAATTCGCTCTGTAGACCAGGCTGGCCTCGAACTCACAGAGATCCGCCCGCCTCTGCCTCCACAGTGCTGGGAGTAAGGGCATGCCTCACCACTGCCACCCAGCTATTTATTTTTACGACAGGGGCTCACTATGTAACTAAGTTAGGCTAGAATCTGCCTTAGTGATGGTACTGCAAGGGAGCACCAGCTGCTACAGATACAGGAGTCTTTTTTAAAAAGAATCTCCCGTAGGGGGTCGCTGTCTGCCGGCCAACCTCTGCCAGATGCCAGCTGGGTCCCCACCACCACCACACTAGGTGGCCAGCCCAGGGCGCGAAAAACCGGGCGGAACTCAGGGCGCGAGCGCCGCGCCAGCTTGCGGACCACGGGGAGGTGCGCACCGGAAGCGGTCCTGAGAGATGAACATGGCGGCCGCCTGGGGCCTGCGCTGGGGCCTGCACCGAGCCGGAACCTTGTTGCTCCCGCCGCCCGCGCGCTGTGCTCGGCACGCTCTGCACAGACAGGTAGAGGGCACCGAATTCCAGAGCATCTACAGCCTGGACAAGCTCTACCCCGAGTCCAAGGGCGTGGATACGGCCTGGAAGGTCCCGGTGAGCCGAGAAAGGCGGGACGGAAAGGGCGGTGCCTCTCGCTGCTAGGTGACGCCAGGAAGCCGGGCGGCGTGGAACCTTTGGTTGCTGAGGGAGGAACTGGTCGTCCTAGCAACCCAGGCGGGAGGGGTGGGGGCTCTGGGATTTTAGGGTGTGGTTGCAGCCCCTGGGAGAGAGCCTGCCACCTCCGCATCCTTCAACATCACCAGCTTTTCCCCGTTTGTTTTCCGGTCTTTAGGCCCACATTCTATGGGGAATGTGAATTGTGGACAATAAAAGCTGAGGTCCTCAAGTTGTAACGTTGCTCGGTCTATTTTCCCTAGTAACGTCAGGAAGCCAGAGACAAGGTTGTTCCTTCAGGATCCATATTTAGCCTGCTGTGTGTAGCTACACTGCATTGGACCAGAGCAGGAGAGAGAGAACCTATTGAGTTGCATCCATAGGATTGAAAGAGCATCCGGTATTTTCATTCATTCACTCACACTTCATTCACCAGACTTCTCTTGAGAGCGTCCAGTGAGCACTGATAATTTGGGGCAGAGCGTAGTAAAAACAAATCCTACGGCTGTGGAGCGTATGGTATGCTACAGGGAGACAGACAAAAATAAATGAATAAACGCAATTAACACTGGATATGATACTTTAGAGACAATAAGACCCGCAAGGAAGAAGTAAAGCCAGAGCTGCAGCTGCAGGTTTCTTACCAGTTTGTTTGGACAAAGGATCTCATGTAACCTAGGCTGGCCCCAAACTTGCTACAGAGCTAAGGGTAGTCTTGAGCTCCTGATCTTTCCACCTTCATCTCCCAAGTGTCAAGATTACTGGCAGGTGGCCTATTTGTTTCTTTTGAGAAAGGCTCTTTAAAATCCCTGGCTGGGCTCTTAATTTGTAATGATCTTCCTGCCTCTGCCTCTCAAGTGCTGAGATGATAAGCATGCACCACCAAACCCAGCTCAGAGTTGCAGTATCAAGGAGAGTGATCTGGAAGAAGTGGGGCATAGTGGCCTGCATTTGTAATCCCGGCACTTGGGAGGCAGAGGCAGGAAAATCAGAAGTTCAGGGCCAGCCTGAACCATGTGAGACCTTGTCACGGACAGAGAACAGGAAGGCATGAGACTCCTGGAGCGATAAGTGTCTCAAGCAGCGTGATGAGCAAGTGCAACCACTTCAGGACAGTAGTATGCTGGACAAGTGTGGCTGAGCAGGCCAATCTGATGAAGGGAAGCCAAAGAGGAGAGAAGTGGGCGGAGGCCAGGAATCCAATGATACGAGCTTTACAAGATAGACTGTGTATTACAGTGTTAGAGACAATAGCGAAGAATGGCAAGAGCTAGAAGGTGAGCTCGAAGATTGCAGTAACATAGGCAAGAAAGGATTCGCAGGGTGGAAGCAGCAGGAATCTTGCAGATGGTCATATCCTAGGCATATAGGAAGGGTGGTCCACTAGGATTGTTGCTCCAGGTTGGCAGCGGGCATTGGTGTTTGGTGCCCCTCATGTATGAGCTCTTTGCCTGTCTCACCACCCCATTCCTTTCCCCATGAGCCAGGCCGCTGATAGTCCCTAGCAATAGCTTAAGCCATGGCCTGTATGGCTGAAGGCATGAGCTCCATCTTCCTAGAGGAGTGCTCCAGACGTAGTGCCTGAGTCGGGGATGGTTTGATAGCATGATTTTGCTGGAGGCCAAAAAACAATAATGCATAACTTCTTAAAAGTGTTTATTGCAATTAGTGTGTGTGTGTGTGTGTGTCTGGGTGTCTGGGTGTTTTGCCTGTATACCACAGAATGTGTGTGGAAGTCAGGCCAACTCACAGGGAGTTGCTTCTCTCCGTCCACCATGTAGGTCCTCAGGAGTGACCTCAGATGTCAGGCTTGACTTTTAGGGAGTGCTTTTACCCACTCAGCCATCTCCTCAGCCTAAAATATGTAACATTTGGCCTGTAGCTGTACACTTTTTTTTTTTTCCTGTCTCAGACCAGTTAGGAGTAGTCTGACAAGGGACTTCTCTTTTTTAGGGACTTCTTTAACACTCTGTATGTTATATTACAGGAGCATGCGAAACAAGCCAGCAGTGACATCCCTCTAGGTAAGTGATGTTATTGAAAATCAGTTATTGTAGGCTAGGGGGCTAACTCAGTGGTAGAGTACTTGCCTAGCCTGAGATCGGCCCTGCAGTCCATCCCAAGCACCACACACACACAAAGCCATTTACCGAATTTCTCACGTGTTCCTTCTAGATCTCACCAGACCAGTGAAGGACAGTAGAGAGACCAACCATGGCCGTGAAAGGAGCCCTTGCAGCATAGCTTAGAATAGTGACCAAACGGTGACTTAGCCGTGCATGTAGACTACAAGGTCTGCCCACATGTGAAGAGCTCTTGATGTGCTTACGATTTGGAACTTTCTTGATGGTATAGGGTTGAGTGCTGTGTGAAGAAGGAAGGTACAGGAGAGTAGCAGCCAAGGGCAGTACCTCATGACAGTCTCTGGGGAAACAGGCGTGCTGCTGAGTGGACAGTGGCTGCCTCTCCTGGCCTCCTGAGCTCTCTGGAGGTTCACGTGGCATTCCGTTTCAGCAGACTCAGCCGCAGCCAGCATGACCCACCTGTCTTCCATGCAGGGGTGCTGGGCTCCATAATGCAGCCATTCCCCTGCAGTACCAGGTACCTTTGTTACTGAGTCAGAACCGGATTTAACTGGCTTTTCCAAAGGAGGAAGACCTGGGAGGTGGCCTCAGGATGGGGCACTGTCCCCTGCCACCATGCTGTCACACTGCCTGAACACCCACCCTGCTGTGGTTCACCAGCTGCTCTTCTCGCAGTTCGCTGCTTCTGTGTCTCTCCTACCCAGACACTGTCGAGGCCTTTGCAGGAGATAGAGAAATGGGAGGAAGGAACCTCATCTTCCAGCTTAAAAATAAGCAAGCCGGGCGGTGGTGGCACACACCTTTAGTCCCAGCACTTGGGAGGCAGAGGTAGGCAGATCTCTGTGAGTTCGGGGACAGCCAGGACTACACAGAGAAGCCCTGTCTCAAAATAAACAAACAAGACAGACAGAGAAGCTGTAGGACTTTGTCAAGATCATATATAGTTAGTGGCCACACTGCCTTTCAGGATGAGAGCTCCTGAACTAAAGATCAAGTTTTCATCCATCCAGCACATAATTTTAACCCAGACTATGAGCTAGGCCCTGAGAACACAGAAACAATACTCTCTTGTCCCCGTCTGACTGTGTAGTCTACACTGAAGGCCTCAAACTCAACATTCTCCTTCCTCAGCCTCCCAAGTGCCAGCTTTACAAGGAGTGTGCCATCCTGTCCACCTAGCCATGTCCTCTTGAGCTTCTAGCTCATCGTGATTCCATATCCATCACTCTTCGAACTACGTGAAACTAAGTCTGTCCCTTAGCTTGAGTCTTCACTTTAAAACAAACAAACAAAACACAGAAGGATTTGGTAGAATGTGCTAGACTTGGGTCATAATTTTTCTTCTTCCACTTTCTGGGAGGCCTTGGGAAAGTCAGTTGTCCTGATTCTAGTTTTGACATCTTTGGATGCCATTCAGCTTTACTGGTGTGTGTGTGTGTGTGTGTGTGTGTGTGTGTGTGTGTGTGTGTGTGTGTGTGTGTAAGAGAGGTGTGTGATCATCACATTGACTAAATTAGCACTTTACATGTTCAGCCATGGGGATCCCTCATGTGTATGTATTCTCCTGTTTTTACTGGTTGGGGTGTGTGTGTGTGTGTAAGAGAGGTGTGTGATCATCACATTGACTAAATTAGCCCTTTCCATGTTCAGCCGTGGGGACCCTCATGTATGTGTTCTCCTGTTTTGCAGATCGATTGAGCATATCTTACTGCCGGAGTAGCGGTCCTGGGGGGCAGAATGTTAACAAAGGTACAGGCTCCACAGTGCTCCCTTCTGCTGTAACTCTAGCTGGGAGGGGTGTGAGGGGGAAGTCCGCATTCACATTCCTGGGGAATAAAGGGGTTTTTCTGCTGCAGCTCAGACACCTCCAGCTTACAATAACCCTTTGACTCTTCTGAATGTGGTCCGATTGTCTGGTGCTCAGCTGTAGGTTGCTAAGGCTAGGATTGGCTTTTGAGGGTAAACAAAGAGAACTCACAGCATGAGCTGGCAGCCTGCTTGGATCCACGGAGAACAGGTTTCCTCTGCTCTCGTGAAACCCATCCCCCTGCTCTTTCCAGAGTCCAGGAAAACTGTTGGGAGAAACCCTGGACATTTGGATACCAGAAGTCTAGTTTTGTCCCAAAGAGAGTAGCCTTGTGGGTTTGTTCCATGGCTAGCTTCGACAGAGGCTAGAATGTTCCTGGCTAAGTAGTTGGCTGCCCTTGGCTTCAGGACTGCCCCTGAATGCCTGGGCAGTGTGTCCTGCAAAGAGTCTCAGGATCCCTGCTCCTTCCTTCCCATCCACAGTGAATTCCAAGGCTGAAGTCAGGTTTCACTTGGCCAGTGCAGACTGGATTGCTGAGCCCGTGCGCCAGAAAATTGCTCTCAAGGTACTCATCCCTTTCTGTCCCTGTGGCTCCTTGGGGTGGGGATAGGCTGTGGGCCTTTGTGGTGTTTCTCATTTTCCTCCTTGGCAGCATAAAAACAAGATCAACAAGGCAGGAGAGCTGGTTCTTACCTCCGAGAGCAGTCGCTATCAGTTCCGGAATCTGGCAGAATGCCTACAGAAAATTCGAGACATGATTGCTGAGGCCAGCCAGTTGCCCAAGGAGCCATCCAAAGAGGACGCTCAGCTCCAGAGACTCAGGTACAGAGGGCGGGTGAGAGGAGGCAGGGAGAGTCCAGGAGCTCCCAGCAGGGACAGTGGAGAAGCTGCCGAGAGGAGCAGGGTGCTGACCCAGGCTCGGATGCACATCTGGCTCCTGCTGACTGGGCTGCTCTGCTGACTCCCCCTCAGCTTCCAGCTTTGAAAAGCACTGATTGCAGCACATCTGGCCTCATTGGCGTCTTTTGTTTCCAGGATAGAAAACATGAATCGGGAAAGACTGCGGCAGAAAAGAATAAACTCTTCCATAAAGACGAGCAGGAGGGTGACTGTGGACTGAAGTCACCGCACTGCCAGCAGAGCCTGGGGTGTCATGCCGTCTGCAGAGAGCCGCCATACCCGGGGAGCCTTGCCAGAACGTTCCTCAGGAGGGGAGGCTACAGGTCATCCAGGGCAGCCCCTCAGCTGTCCACTTCATTTATTACTGGCTGCAATAAACTTGTAAGCACAGCTGTGAGCCTCACCACTCAGAGCTTTGCAGCAGGGCTCCTGCCTTCCAGCCGAAAGCCGCCTCACGGCGTCTGTGACAGCTGTAGGGCATCAGAGGATGGTGAGTCCGTCCTCAAGGAGCAAAGAGCTAGAAGGGCTGGGAAACGTGAGCAGGCATTTGAGCTGGACCTTCAGAAACACAAAGCGACTGAACGCAGTGGGCAGGAGGAAGCTGGTGGCGGGAGGTGACGAGGAAGCCAGGGACGCCAAGTGGCAGGCTGTGCAGGAGACTTGGGAGGCGCACGGGGAAGAAGACGTGGAAGATTCGCTCCAGCCCCAGGCGGGAAGGTTGGGGTTTGTTTACTTGGCAGGTGGCATCTGTGTGACACGCACAGGAGGGTTAGAGAGCAGCCCGCCCTTCCGCCGGCAGAGTCACCTCTTCACGTGGGGATGGGTGGGCCTTGCTTCAGGCTGAAGGGCAAACATCTTTACCTGCCACGCCGTATGGCTGGCCCTGATTTTATTTATTATTGTGAGGGGAGCCATGCATGAACCACAGTACATGATTAGTGGTCAGAGGACAGCTTGTAGAAGTCAGTTCTCTTCCCCCACCATGTAGGTCCCAGGGACCAGTCAGGCTTGGGCACAGCGCCTTTCCTGCTGCTGAACCATCTCACCAACCCTGCAGGTGGTTTATTATACCTTTTCCCCCCAAATGATTTACTTTTAAAAGCAAAAATAAGGGCCAGAGAGGTGGCTCCATGGATAAAGGCTCTTGCTGCCAAGACTCCATGAATTGACCCCTGGTACCCACATGTTGGAAGGAGAGGACTGACTCATGAGAGCTGGCTCCTGACCTCCACCAGCTTCATGAAGCATTCATGTGCACACACAAATATAACTTAATTTCTTTTAATCAGATAAGCTCTGCCCTGGTCACATGTCCCAGAGACAAACCAGAATTCGGATTCTATATTAGCTTGAAAATAGAGCATCATTAGTGTCAGACAGGAGCCACTTACCTACAGGAGGTAAAACACTGCTGGCCGCAAGGACACTCTCTAAATTTGGTTTATTCTTCTGCCATCATTTTATTCTTTTCCAGGGTTCTGGCATGCAAGAGAATCCATGCCTAAAATTTAATACCTCCAAGTTGATAGGAGCTGTCCCTGGGCTTGGGTGGGGTTTTAACAGTTCCACTATCAACCTTGTTGCCAGTTCCCTGGGTCCGTGCTGAGCCCAGTGGCTCCTTCATCACTGTCACTACAATGACCACGACTTCTGTTTCTTCCCAATCTGCACATCGCTCCAATGCTGTCAGACCTCAGTGTCCTCCAGCGTTAGCTCTAAGCATGTGGGGTCGTGGTGGCTGTAGTCTCCCACCCCCAGCTGCAGCATTTAGGGAAGTCCGCGTTGAGAAACACACCAGGTAACTGTTAGGATCAACTGCGGGGACCATTATTCCACACAGATCAGTCATTTCAACAAACGCTTCCTGTGCTCAGTTACATAGTTAAAAATCCTACATGCCTCCTTTCAAGCCTCAGCCCTTTCCCAGAACCTCAACACCCACCATGAAGCCATTGCTAAGCCCCTGAATTAAACTATACTTCCCAGACTGCTCTGCACCTCCATCCCTCAGGGTTTAAGTGTCTTAACATTACATTACTAAGATTTCTCTCTCTCCTTGTCTGTCTCCCTTCCTTCCCGCCCCTCTTTTGACTGATGCCGGCCCTCTCCGTGCATTATACATTTGCAAAGAACATACATTGTGTATAAATGTTTCTGTCGTTATGAAAGGATCAGGAAGTTTTTCAGTGCTTATATTTCAATATTGTCAGTGTTGTGACTGATACTTCTCATCCTTTCTGGATTCACCATCAGTTCTTAGGAGCTGTAGGGAGGAAGAAAACAGCCGGGGAGTGGGGGAGGGGGGCCGCCGGGAATTAATGCCGTGGAAACTTCCACTCGTTCCCGGTGCCCGTGTGCGGGCGACCTCAAGGTACCCCCTTGGCCCCACCCTGCACACTCGGCGCTGGCCCAGCTCGGGCTTGTGTTCACGTCCCAGCAGCTCCCCAAAGCAACAACCAAAAAACGCATTTAAATGGAAGCATAGGCACGATCGTGTCAGCATCCATTAGATGGGAAAAGGCGACGACCACGTGCTGTAAGCCCCAGTGGCCTAATGGATAAGGCACTGGCCTCCTAAGCCAGGGATTGTGGGTTCGAGTCCCACCTGGGGTAGAAATCGGTTGCTTGCCCGTAACTAGTTTTTTAGCCTTCAATATCCATATAAATGGAGTCCGCAAAAACATACGAGACACGCATGCTCGGAACGGGGAGGGCAGGGCCTTGATAAGCGGGGGTGCAAGGCGAACCCAGACCTGCGGGACACACCAACCAGGATAAATGACTAGGTACAGAGACCGGAAGTGCACGACTCTGTCTCCAAAATTAGGACTGCACCACCCCAGGTGGGACTCGAACCCACAATCCCTGGCTTAGGAGGCCAGTGCCTTATCCATTAGGCCACTGGGGCGCGATAAAAAGCTGTGTTCACGTGGTCCGTGATAGCGCGGCGCGCTGACGTGGCCAACCCTATCCCGGAAGAGTGAGTGAACGCCTTGGCTCGGGCCTGTGGACCCGACACCCAGCTCTCACCAGACTCCGAGGAAAGGCGGGCGACCACGCGCTGCGAGATGGGAGAGAGCCGCGCCTCGGCCGGTGGGCACACGGGGCCGACCGGAGAGGAATCGAACTGGCCCGAAGTCAGCCGAGCTATCCGCCAAGCCGTACATCCGCGCTGCTCAGCGGCCCGTGGCGGGGACCGCGGGCCGCCCCTCGGGAGTTACAGATGCCAAGGCACACCACGATCGGGCCATTGGAGCGGAGCTTGTTCTTCACCAAATAATACGTTCTAGTGAAGGAGCTGGCTCAGTGAGACCGCGTGGCCTAATGGATAAGGCGTCTGACTTCGGATCAGAAGATTGAGGGTTCGAGTCCCTTCGTGGTCGAAACGTTTTCATCCCTAATCGGTCCTTCCAATTGGGTACTATTTAGTTCCTTGTTTTAGATGAAAAGATTTCAAGAGACACTGCAGGACTCTGGGCATTTAGCGTTGGAGAACTTCCTGAGTGACTCTATTACTTATTTACCTTTTAAAAGGCGGATTATAGAGCACTGCACCCAGGAAGTTCCAGTGTCCTAATGTGTAAGGCCTCGTAGGCAAGGGATTTGGGCTCACAGTCTCATCTGATACAATTTGTAAATTTATTTTAATAAATTTTAAAAATTTTAAATCTAGCCGGGCGGTGGTGGCGCACGCCTTTAATCCCAGCACTCGGGAGGCAGAGCCAGGCGGATCTCTGTGAGTTCGAGGCCAGCCTGGGCTACCAAGTGAGCTCCAGGAAAAGGCGCAAAGCTACACAGAGAAACCCTGTCTCGAAAAACCAAAAAAAAAAAAAAAAAAAAAAAAAATTTTAAATCTTTTAAATTTATTTTTGTGGCCAGGCAGTGGTTGCTCATTCTTTTAATCCCAGCACTTGGGAGGCAGAGGCAGGCCGATCTCTGAGTTCGAGGCTAAAGAGTGAGTTCCAGGACAGCCAGGACTACACAGAGTCCCTTCACAAAAAACAGAAACCAAAAATTTGTGGTATGTGGTTTGCTAGGTCCAAACTTGCCGTCCACCCACCTTAACCTCCTGAGGGCTGGGATTGTAGATATGTGAGTGTCCGGTTTGAGGGCTTCAATCATGCATGTATGTTAACATGTATGTAAATGTGTAACTAGTTAATTCTTGAGACAATCCACCAGGGAAATGCCCACCTTTATCCTCTTCTGCTGCTGAGGTGGTCCAGTGAGAGTACAGCCTTTGGATGCCTCCCAGATAGGTCGGGGACCCAGAGCAGTGGAGAGGTCTCACCCGGGCACACCCCTTGTGCTTCCACACACAGCCCTCACAACCCTTACCATCATGGAGGGGAGGGGTGGAGATCAGGTTAGGTTAAGCTCTGCCTTAACAAGGTGTCACCAGGGGCCGGGCAAAAGCATGGTTTTGAGAAGCTGGCCAAGGTCTGCATTTGATCTGGAGTTGTTTCCTTCATAGATACACATCAACGCAATGTCCTCACTTCCTCAATTTCTGCTTGTGTTCCTTTAACAAAAGATTGATAGGTTTGTAGACCAGGCTGGTCTCAAACGCACAGAAATCCACCTGCCTCTGCCTCCCTAGTGCTGGGATTAGTGCACCCTCACACCTGGCTGTTTTTTCATTTTTTTTTTTTTTTTTTGGTTTCTCTCTGTAGCCCTGGCTGTCCTGGAACTCACTCTGTAGACCAGGCTGGCCTCAAACTCAGAACCGCCTGTCTCTGCCTCCCAAGTGCTGGGATTTAAGGCGTGCACCAATACGGCTCAGGTGTTTTGTCTTTCACGGAGGTGGGACAGCCGTAATTTCTAGACTTCTGAGGCAAGAACAGTTATTCTGATAAAACAATGTCTCCTAAGGTGGATTATCCCCAAATGTAGACAAGGTGGCAGAGCTGTTGACATGGAGCTCACAGGTGTTCACAGGTGGCTATGCCTTTAATGTCCTGAACAGCAGACTACCACACCAATTTATCCCGAAATTATGGAACTGCACCCCACTGGAGCGGAGTTCCAGCCCCTGCTGGCCACTGACTCATCCATTTTCTGGACTGTGCATCCGAACCCTCGCTTGGCCATGCTCTCCCTACAGAATTTAAGCTATAGCAGGTGAGATGGGGGTGCTTAGATATCTAGAAACTTCCCAGGCTATCTCTTTAATTCTCATTAAGATCCGGATGCTTGTGAGAACAGTAGAATCCCAAGACAGTTAACTCAGCAACTGTGTTGGGCACAGGTCCTAACTTCAGGGCTGTCTCCTCCAACCACCTTAACTTTTTCATGTTCCCATTGTGTGTGCGTGTGTGATGTAGAGAGCAGAATGCACATGTTCAGGTCAGAGACTGTCCTCACCATAGTGTGGTCACAGGCTCTGCTGTTCAAGGTTCAGCAGCCCTGAGGCCACAGTAACTGGTTCCCTACAGTCTGTCCCTTAGATGACCATTCCTCAGAATAAAATGCTTCTGGTGGGGCCACCTCAGAACTGTTCACCCACTGAAAGACAACACCCCACGCTATGTAAATGTTTTATTTTAATGTCCAGAGTTTTAGAATGAAAAGCTGGCGCTCCCTCCTGGCCTGTTTCACAGGTTCTCAATGGGCTGATGAGGCCAGTACGGGTACTTCTTCTTGTCCAGCTTGGTTTCTGGGAAGATTTCATTCAAGTCATCAATGGTCATCTGATCAAAGGGGACGATGTTCTTTATTTTCTCCAGCTAGAAAGAGCAGGCATGAGTTAGCCCTAGGAAACAAGCAAGGCCACCAAGAACAAAACAAGAATCCAAGGACAGTCGGTGACTGCCAAGGGTGACAGAGACAACGTGTCATAGAGGCCATGGCTCATCCTCACCTGCGCCTCATATTGCCGGATCCTGGCCTGGGATTCAGACACAAACGCAGCACAGGTCTTCATCTTGAAGAGAAAGGAGAAACTTTCCTGAAACCAAGTGACAGCCTGCCCCGAGGCGCGAGCAGCTCCAGCCTGCCCATTTCCCTGCTATCTGAAGAAGAGCATGCTGACCTGGCCTGAGTGCTTTGGAAGGGGGCAAACCACAGCTTTTTCAACACCCACAAAGCAGCCAGGCAGGAGAGCAGCTTAGGATTGGTCACTGCAGAGTCTCGGCAAGTCACATGACCCTAGGGCCAGGTTCCAATGTTGACCTGAGGTATTTTCAGACAAATAGATATCTGAATGCTGAATGGATTGTTTTTTAAAACCGAGGTCCTGTTTTTACCAGATCTGCTGGGTGTAAAACTGACACTGAGATGCATGTGTTTACAGAACTCCCAACAGATGATGTAATCACTGGACACACTTGTCACACTCACAACAGGGACTTACCTATTAGCTCGTCCCACCTCTCCCCAGGCAGCCTCTCAGCCATCCGTCACTAAAGATTAACTGCACTTTCTAGAGATCTGTACAGACAAGGCTTCACCGTGTAGCTCTGGCTGGCCTCCAACTGCGAGATCTACCTGCCTCTGCTCTCAGAGGGCTGCATAGGAAGGTGTGCGCGTCCAGGCCCAGGCTCGCTGGCTCCTTCTAACCAGCATTATCTTAGATTCACTCATGCTGCTGCATTTATTAGCAATCCTCTTGGTTCCTACAACACTCTAACCTTCCATTTGACTCACTGTCTACCCTTCCTACTAATGACAATAGTCATTAAGAAAACTTCAGGATCTGATCATAGTGGTGCATGCCTATAATCCCCACACTTGGGAGGCTGAGGCAGGAGGATCAGCATGACTTTGAGGCCAACCAAGGCTACACAGTGAGACCTTACAAAACAAAAAACAAACAAACAAACAAAAAAGACAATTTTGGAGGAAAAAACCCAGAACAAACAAATAACGTGCCCACTACTTACATCCTCCTTTTCCTCACTGTCCACCAGGGCTGTGTATTTATCCTCAGGCACTGGAATCTTCAGGGCATTATACTAGAAACAAGAACAAAGCAGTCACCCTCGTACCCAAGAGCCCGAAGGACTCTTACAGACCACATGAAAACACCCCATCCCTTCCCATCTCTGGTACTGTGGTAGGAAGAGCTGGAAGATCTCCCCAGCCCTATCCCTGATCACTCAGGAAACCTCCCCACTTCTTTATCGCAAGTGTCCCTTCCCTCATCTGAAAACGGTTACGAGACTGGTCACAGCCACTCAGCACCTTGCAGTCTAAGAAATTCTTTTTCACCCCAAACCCTCAAGGACTGCCTGGCAGGAATCATGTTTGCATTATGAAGGTAGAAAGGGTTGTTAGAAGACTGTTTAGTGTTACGGCCCTGGCACTGTATGCTAAGCTACAAAGAGCAGGCCTTCTAGAAGCATCTTCAAATGAATAAGCAAATGAACTCTGGACATTGAGACTTAATGTGTAAGCATCACAAGACAGATCACTGATGGGCTAGAAAGATGGCCCAGAGGTGAAGGGCACTGGCTGTTCCTCCAGAGGAACCAGATTCAATCCTCAGCACCCACACAGCAGCTCAAGACAGTCTATAATTCCAATTCCAGGAGGTCTGATGGCCTCATCAAGCTTCTGGCACCAGCCATGTACATAGAAATACAGGCAGGCAAAAACCCCATACACATGAAATTAATTGTTTTAAAAGAAGAGAAGGAGACAGAAGGGCCAGGGAGGTGCAAGAAGGGGAACATGTTAGCTTATGAAAAGGAGGCAGGTACGGGACCTGAAGGGGAACTTGGGAGAAGAGCTGGCCCTGGCAGCCCTCTAGCTCCCAGGAGCAAGGCTACCCTGGACTGCTGAACCCGGGACTGTGACTAGACAGGTTCTAAGCCCACTGCTGCGGGGCCTTTGGCCACACCCACTTTTCCCACCTACCATCCCTTAATAAGATCAAAGTTTAGTTATCTGAAGGCCTACCTTCTTTTCAAATTCATCCACCAAGCCAGCCTTGGCCACATTGGCCCTGTAATAAGCCCAGTCAATTGCTGGTGGTTTCTCAGACACATTAGCCAACCTGCTCATATGGAAAAGTAAAGTCAGGACTATTCCACAAGCAACAGACACTACTCACACAACAATCTCCCTAGTCCTTATCACACTGGAATGTCGGCACACATTTCTCTGAAGGACCACCACATCCATTTCTTTACTTGGTCAGACTTAGAAATGCCTTCGTAGTGCTGCAAGATGGCAAGTGGGTGAGGGCACTTATGGCTAAACCTGAGGCCATGTCTTCAATACCGGGGACCCACATGGTGGAAGGCCGAGAGCCAGCACCCACAAGCTCTCCTCTGTTTCCTCACGTGCTCCATGGCACACAGTGGCAGATGTGCACTGCTATACACACTAAATAAATGTAATAAATGTCAAAACATTGCTTCAGGTGCAGGGGCAAGTATGGGGGTGGGGGGGTGGCTCTTTCTCACAACATACTCACCTGGTATGGAGGGTCTCACTCCAGGACTTTAGGGAGTTTCCAATTGCCTTTTGGTTTCGGGGCATAATCTCCACAAAAGCTACCCAATCAATGGTTTTTAGAGCAAATTTACGCGCAGCCATCTTGGGATCCTAAAAAACAAAGCAGGTCAGATTAAACAGTGCCTTTGGAGAGAACCCCTGAAGGAGAGCATTTCAGAGAAATACAAATCTTTCTAGAGATAGCTCGGCACGGTTTAAGCATTTGGTGGTCTATTCAACAGCCAAAGGAATGAGGACTTGAGGCCCAGTTGTTAGAATGCTTGCCGAGCGTGGGCAAAGCCCTGGGTTCCATCTCCAGCACCACATAAGCTGACACAGGAGGCAGGAGGATGAAAGTTCAGGGTCAATCTCTGGTTACACAGTGAGTTCAAGGCCACCCTGGGACACATGATAGCCTGCTTCAACCTTTCCTCCAGCCGACGCTTTATCATTAGAAACCCAATTCTACGTTCTGCTCTACATGTGTCTTTGCAAACATTGCTAAAGGGCATTCATACACTGTACAAAAGTTAAATAACAACTGTGCCTTATCCACTGATTTCCCACCATACAGAAAGTTGACAGAGAAAATTTGACAAAGCTTCAGAAAGAGAAGACAGAATTTCCTCATCTGCAAACTGGGGGAAAGAGCTGTTAAAAACACCAAGTGTCACTGTGGGCATCAATTGGCCCTAGTTTCATACAGACTTCGGGGGACTCTCAACCCCTGCCCTACACCGGAACCTTCACAGTCGCGTCATACTGTCCACAGCACACATGCCTTGCATTTTCCGAGGCATTTTTACACAAACGACAGTGAGAGAAGTGACTGCAGCTGTCTTTAAACCGAAACAAGACAAAATACAGGAAACCACTACGATCGAGGTTTGTCAAGTGGAAACCGTCTGTACAAGCTGAGTGGATTGCAGGCGACGTGGAGGATACCCTCCTAAAGATCAAGGTTGTCAAACGCCAGTGCCCTCTTCCTTCCTCCCCTTCTAGAACAGCTGACGTCTCTAGGAGGGGAGAGGCTAAGGCAACTGTCAGGTGAACTAAAGATGCCAAAAATGCACTTTCCTAGGCACGAGGGGACGCAGGAGTCACAGACAAGGTCTTGTTGTCTGGTTGATCTCCAGCGCCTGGAACAGGCCGTGAGAATAAGGAATGACCAATGGTTACTCGACCAACCGGTAAACGAACCTGGGCAACCTCAGTATTACCCACAGTACTACCGGAATCCTACAACCTCCTCAGGGAGGGGAGAACGGAGCGCTGCAACCGACCGGGTGTCCTGCCCCTTGAGAAAGCCATCGCTATGGCTATGTGATGGTTCCCCGACCCACACACTGCACTCCTGAGTGCGCCACAGTGTGAGACACGGTTTGTGGCCACATCTAAGTCAATGGTGATTGGCCAGGCCATGGCCAGGCCCCAGGCTCGCCCCGCGGCGAAGGTGAGCAGGGCGAAGCAGTGACCTCGGGAGCTCAGCCAGCGGGGCAGCTTGAAGGCACCGCGTCCTCCGCGGAGGTGGAACAAAGCGTCAAAGCGAGGCCTAGAGCATCGAGCGCAGAAGAGCCCGTGGAGATGGGACTCGGTACCTCGAAGCCCACTCACCTTCACCGACCCCGGCGGACCGCTGTCCCCAGCAGGAAGGAACGGAAGTGGACCGCCGGAAGTTCTCCCTTCGGCTAATCCGAAAGCGCAATGGACGGGCCTTGTTTTACCCGTCAGCCAATGAACATAGAGCCTGCCTCCGGAAGTCCCGCCCCCGGAGGCGGGCACGGCGCCTGCGCGGTCGCAGCCTCGGGTGGTTGGGGGCGCTCCCGTCCCTC